AACACATGTTTTTTTTAACATGCTTGCAAAGGACCCAGAAAGAATCAGTCATTAATGAGCCCTCAAACTATCATCATGCTATTAACACTGAGCTGAAATGGTAGTTAATATAAATGTAACAAGGGAAAGAGAGGGAGGCACTTTATTTACCTGGTGAGTTCCTCTCTTATTTTCATTGGCTCGTTGGGATAAAACTTGACCCGGAAACACATCGTGTACGGCTGATGGGCTGCTGAAGACAAGAAAAAAAGTTAAGAAGAGAGAAGAAACAAGTGGAGAGAGATGAAGGAAAAATTAGATGGTGTTAATTATGAGAGGAGAGGGCAGAAGAAAGGCAGAGATAATGAATGAGTGCAAGACAGAAGCAGAGCAATGAGGATTACACAAAACTGAGGAGAAAAATAAGTTGGAGACCTAAAAATGAAATCAGAGTATGCCTCTAATAATGATTAGTCATTTGATAATTACAGTAATTACTCATCACAAACACACACACACATACACACACACACACACACACACACACACACACACACACACACACACACACACACACACACACATACACACACACACACAAACACACACACACACACACGAATAGGGCCTCAATTAATCAGTGCTCTGTTTCTTTTCCTTTGAATGGAGTCCTAAAGCCTTTCATTTCTGATTGTGTGTGTGTGTGTGTGTGTGTGTGTGTGTGTGTATGTGTGTGTGTGTGTGTGTGTGTGTGTGTGTGTGTGTGTGTGTGTGTGTGTGTGTGTGTGTGTGTGTGTGTGTGTGTGTGTGTGTGTGTGTGTGTGTGTGTGTGTGTGTAAGAATTTGAGCTTAGAATGTTATTTGAATGTGCACGGGTACATACATACACACACTTACGTACATTCACACACACAAGCACACACACAAAGTCAGTGTTGCCGGGCTCGGATTAAACGACAGCAGCAGCAGCTTAAACTCCCCTCTGGTGTCTCAACTTATCAGAGAAAGAGTTGCATATAAAAACACATTCATGCACAAACGTGCAAAATTCAAAGTTTACCCCTTGAAGTTTGCTAATTTGCATGATGTTCAGACATACGTATCAACACAAAGTGTGCAGAGAAGCAACATCAGCAACATGAGCCGATTCATTATGCATTCAAAGATTAGGAGATAAGTAGAGAAATCATATGAAGCTGGATGAGCAGCTTCTGATGTTGATTTCATATCATGATATACTGTACAGAGGCCTAATTTACACTTCCTGTTGAGAGTGGGGAAAAGGGGTTTGTTAACCTTACTGATATTCTGCTGAACATGTAAAGTAATAATAGTGCTATGTGTTTTTCACAGTTGTATGATATGCAACTAATACAGTGAAGTAATGGAATAAAAGGGTATTTGGGAAAATCTTTCAGAAAAAAGTTTTTTTTAAATAATATCAAATCCTAAGGCTTTGATAGAGCAATGTCGTTTTGGGGTAGAAAGCAAAAAAAGAAGGATGTACAAAGATTGGAATAATAAAGGACATGTTTGATTTAACTGGGTTTGTATATGTCTTATGTTTGATCACGTACACATGGATGATTTTGAGCAAAAGTACAATCATCTAGTATGCATTAGATACTAAAAGAAAAGGCCAAATCATCTGATACAGGCAATGTTTCTAAAGTGGGCCTCAAAGATCAAATCAGCCAAAGCCACAGACGAAAGAACAAAAGAAGGAAATAAGAGAATACTGAGTATCATCTAACATGGGAGCAAAGATCTTTACTGAGTGTCCTCACCACTCTGACTTCAATGGTGGGATCCTCTGCGGTATTATCTAGCAATGAAAAACAGCACACATCTACATAATACATGCTGAGCAATATGAATTGCTCAAATAATTTTAGCTGCTTTTTGCGCAGGCTTAAGGGACCAAGATGCTTTTTAAAAAAACATTTCAGGGGAAGTGAATTGGCACAATAGTATGCTCACACACGATGTGACGCATATGCACGTAAGCGTAAATGCGCAGAGAGAAAATAAATTACAAGCCACACATCCTAATTTGACAGTAAATGCGGCCACAGGGAGAAGTGATGTGTCAGTACGACTCAGATCTATGAACCTCGCGTCCTCAATCCCTCCATCTCATCTCTTTTCCTTTCTTTCACTCTCTGTCAGCCTCTCTCATCTCAAACTGTCTCACAAATCTCCTCTTTTCCTCCCTGATCTGACTTCTTTCTTTAGATTCATTATCTATCACTGTCTCCTCTCTCTCCCCTCTGAATTAGCCCCCTGCACATTTCCTCTTCATCACTCTTTCCCCCCTCTTTCTCTCTTCCTCCTTCTCTCAGTCAAATCTCCCCTGGTCTCCTCACCCTCCCCCCCTTGCCCTCTCGCACAAGTTCTGATGAAGCATAAAGCACCGCTAATAGCTCCTTTATTAATTTATAGCGAGATGGAGAGAACAGGACAGTTATTAAAAGGGTGGGTGAACTACAGACAAGTTTTGCTGATGGCACATTGGTCAAATGTATGCAAACATCTCACTGGGACACTCTGCAGCAAAGCATCAAAAGTGAACATCAGGATTTGGCATCAGTCTATCAGAATGAAAGACAATATCTTCCCGACTATAGAGATGTAAACAAGCGCAAGAAGAGGTAAAGGACACCAAGGTGCATGGTAATCACAACAAAATGTTTGCTTCATGATTTTTTCTGCCAGATCTGTGTGGAAAAAGTGGCTGACAAAGCAAAATGGGTTTAAATATTTTATGAAGCAAAGGTAGACTCAGATTCCCTTGTTCCTTTAAATACTCCTTACCAGGAGAAGAATAAAACATTTATTCCCAAAAATGAAGTTATGTCACAATTCACTGCAACGTGATCTTGCATCTGCATTTTTGAAACTGCACTGATAGCTGTCTCTTTCCTTGTGCCACAGTCAGAAAATATAAGTAAAGATCCTGAACTCGAGGGAAAGTAGCAATACCGCAGTGTAATGTATTGTATTTAAAATCTTTAAGGTTTAAGAAAAAGTACACTTTTTTTTACATTAAATGATCTTACATACTGTACATTCAAAGTTTAAGTAATTATCATGCAGAACAGTCAATCTTATATTCATATATATTTTATATAATATACCATTCATTTTTGTTGGTCTATATTTCATATTTTAAAAGCCTGAATTTGCAAGCTGTCAATTAATGTAGTAAAAAGTACAATATTTGCATATGAACTGTAGCGGAAAGGAAATATAATGTTACATACAATTCAAAATACTCAAGTAAAGCAAAACACAGGACCAACATTGTCTTTGTGTTTACAAAATACAGTTACACTTTCACTTTAAACACGTAGAAAGTGACGTTTGGTCATTCTGACGCATCAGAACGGTAGTGATAACCACTGATAAAACCTAATTAATTGGCATTTAAAATGAGTGCAGAAACACCTCTGGACAAGCAAAGCAATTTACTGGGGCTCAGATCAAATCTGCAACCTTTCATTAGTGATGGTCAAGAACAATCAGTCTATGTCGCTGTGTGAAGCTGAAACGACACCTGATCTATGAAACTGTCCTCTGAAGCCGGTCTGTGCCAGAGATCAGGCTCATGCTGCTCTGCCATGCCTGTGTATTTCCCTTACTTGTTTATTTATTTTCTGGGCCACTTGTTCCTCTGGCAGTGTGTTGTGTCACTTTATCTTTGTTGTGTGTCTCTGTTTGTTACCTGGGTGTCTGACTGTCACTGCTCATTGCTCAAGTGGTATTGTGAGCAATCTGTCCTGGGGATAAAGTGGGTGGTAAGGCACTAAAACTTGTATAAGAGTCCATTTCCTAAATACAATTAGTCAATTATGAAAATGCATGTATTAAAACGGTCTTTATTTTTTCACCACATATAATCCGATTTGTTTAGTTTTTTAAATTGTATTAACATCCAGAGGCTTTAACACTGGATCCCTGTGGTGTTGTATGTTTGTTGCGGAGTTCGACCTCCTTGCACTGAAGCTGCTCTCGGGAAGGTTTGCATAAACAAACACACACAAACACACACACACGCATTTCAAACTCATATTTATGTACAAACACTCTGATGCAAAACGCAAGAGAAAAACACAGAGGGAGCAGATGTGACACTTACACTTCATCTGCCTCACCACAGGCTTATTGGGCTCCAGCCAGTGCTGAGAAAGTGAGAGAGATAGAGAGACATACAGATACCAAGAGCAGAGCATGTTAAAAAGAGTATAGTTAGCTATTTCAAATATAAAAATATATTTGAATATCTTTAATATCTTGTTATTATGATATGACACAATCCACCAAACAAAATGAGAAATGTAATGTTTTTGGACCTTAATCTTACCAATTAACTTTTATTCAGAGAAATTATCCTTTTTTATTTGTTTTTTGCTATACTTGTCATACGATGTGCTGACGTAAAAAAAGTAAATACATTGTATAAAATGTACTTTATGTGAGTATTCACTCTTTCTCTCTGTTTCTCTAATTTGAAACCACACATTTTTATGTTTTGGATTATTGGATGTACAAAACCAGCAATTCAAAGTCATTGCAACAAATACATTAATCAGAACTCCAACTAATGTTCATTTCCATTGTTGCTTAATATTGAGAATTTGTACTCAGTTCATAGATTAACTTGTTACTGTACAAAATGTCAGAGAATACTAAAACATGTCCGTCCTAATTTGTCAGTTCGAAACCTAAAGATATTCAGAAATCCTTAATATGATATAAAACAGAGAATAGTCAGAAATCATTGAATTGAGAGAAAAAAAATACTTTTACAATTAACGGTTATCAAAATAGTTGACAATTATTTTACTGTCATCAAACAAATCGGTTCATTAATTAAAAAAGGAATGTGTGTTTGTGTTTTTGTTTTTGATCATTACCCTCTGTTTCTCGGGGTCCACATATCGAATACCAAAGTAGTCTCTCTCAAGCAGGTTGTAGTGGTTACACACATGGTCCAACAGGAACTGGCCTTTGGTGTCTCTCTGTAAGGCAGAAGAAGGAACGAAACACATGAACATGTAAATCAATTATGTGATTTAGTTGAAAGTAAAAATTCACTACTTTTTCTCCATCCATGATTAATCCCTTAAACCTCCCAGATGCATCATTGTGTCATTTCTCAGCAAACATTCCCCTCTTGGGTAATATTTCCGTGATGTAGTTATAGGTCTCTTGGCAACACTATTTCCTGAGGTCATATTCCAGCCTCCTAACATGTCAGTAAATAAAGTCCATAGACAGTTTATAAACACAGAGCAGACACAGAGAGATCAATAATCACGCATTTATTACCTGCTCCTCAGTCAATAACTACTCATCACATACAGACACACAAGCATTCTCATGTTTAAGTCTACAGTAAGTGTGAAGCTAACCACAACACAACCCTTGTAGGTCAAGACCAGAGGCCTGTACTACGAAGCTGGATTTTCGCTTAGCCGGCTAACTTCAGGGAAATCTCGGGCTTTCCGGTCCTACGACGCTGGTTCTCTTTTTAGCAGGCTAGATTTCCATGGTAACTTATGCTGAGCGGCAAACCTGCTCCGGAGCAGGTTAGGTGGCAGGCTAAGAGATCAACTCAGTGAAAGCACCGCCTGCTGACCAATCAGAGCTCCGTGTGCGGAGTTTAAAGCGATCAATTCATATTACAGGATAGAGGAAATACAGAAAAACTGCCGTTGCAGGAAAGACGGCCGGCCAAAATCAACTGACTGTGTGAACGTGAAAATTAATAGAATATCCCCTCCCATCTTCAGAGCAATCTGACTATTATAATATTAGCGTTAAGAAAGCTTACTTAAATATCTGCCACGACATAAGTAACCGGATCAGAGTAACATTAAGTACAGTCCGCGGCACTGTGAGTGCAGACGTAGATGTGTCCCATTATCATTCATATCATATCACATCATAATGTATCATATATTTCCTTATTTGAGTCAGCTTCTTGAGCCGTATCTGGCCGTGCAACACTCACAGTGTCACATACTGTATGCAGAAGTATTATTTTAAGCAACACATTAAGTTGATGAAACACTCGAGTCAAATTCTCCTAATTAAAGTCAGATCCACTCGTGTCTTGGACGGGGCAGTGATTTCATAAACCTGTTAATGTACGCATTCAAACACTTTTTCTTTTACCAGCTGTATTCACCTTGCAGGTGCAGCTATGTGGCTTTTATTCTGGATAAAGTGTTTAAGTCATGGATGTTTAAAGTTTAACTTCTTCATATTTGACTAATATTAAAGTTCACTTTTCATTCAGGAAGTATGACGCTGCGCTGTCAGTACGCTTGTCCGTGTTTGAGATTGGTCGAATGCTCCAAATACCACCCCTTTCATGTGAACGCGCACCTAACTAGATAGGACACGGCTGGCTTGAGCGATCCACTTGATAACCAGCGTCGTAGTACAGTTTAGCCAGAGCGCGTATGTTTTGGATTGGGCCAACCGGCTAACTCAAACATATCCAGGTTAGGTTGAACCAGCTTCGTAGTACAGGCCTCAGGAGTAAATAAGGTGCTACTATGTTTGCATTGACACATACACATACACCAAAACACACAAACACACATAAATTAAATATACATTGCATGTATGCTGCGCGTTTGACCATCCAATCACCAAACTTCCATTCTCACCTTCCCAACCTATTGATTTAATATTCAATATAGAATAGAATAGAAGAATATAATCGTTTGATGTCATTATACAGGTACAATGAGATAAATAAATGCTTCTCCCCCCCAAGGGTGCCATCAACACAAACAAAAAAACATCACAACACAAGACAACAAATACACACAGCATACATACCCAGGAACAAGGAACAAAGTGCAGCAATTACCTCCAGGAGTAATATTCCTGAGATTGCCCTTTTGTCATTTTATATGCATCACAGTTCACCTCAAGTCATTTGATCATGTGTGTGTTGGGGTGTGCGTGTGAATGTGTGTTTCCTATAACCTGCTGATGGAGGTGAATGCTGTGCTCAGTTAAGCAGGATTGATTGATTCAGTGGGAAATCGTCTGTTCGGCCTTGTTGTGTTTTACTCAGCACTAGACACATACACACCACACACACACACACACACACACACACACACACACACACACACACACACACACACACACACACACACACACACACACACACACACACACACACACACACACACACACACACACACACACACACACACTTCTATATTGTTGGCCACATCTTGTCAGTTAACAACTTGTTAAGCTGCCAATTAACACTAATGTCAGTATGCACACATAAGCAGCTTTTACGCACTCAGGCTCCAACCTCCGGTTCTGAAAATTGAAGCTGGCAAAAATTCTGCCTTCATTTCTCTTTGGTTTATTTCTCCTTACCTTCAGCTGACACCTTCCTCATCATCATCACTGTCTTCACAATGTTTTGGTAGATTTAATTGAGAGTTTCCAGACCCCCTATTCAAGTCACTCAAGCATTATTGTCAGAGTCCCTCTAGTTGTCAACCTGAGATTAAATATTGTTGTTTATTTCCAACTGATTTCTCCTTAATGAAATGAGACCTCCACACCCGTCTTCATGAAGTCCTGTGCATATGTTGTGTTTGATAAACACTGCAATTTCTCAACGAGGCAACCTTTTAAATACATTTCCTGGTGAGTCATGCTCCATTTCTCAGCAAACAATCTGGTTATGTGCAGTAATTGCAGTATATGTGGACAGAACTGCTACCAAAGATGCAAGATATTTCCTGTGAATGTCAGCCACTCAGAAATAGTTAAAATTCAATTTCAGGTCAATGCAACGAAAAATGAAAAAAAATTCAATATAAATTAAGTACACTGTACACAATACACAGAAGGAGTTCATATATAGGCTAACCACAGAAACGCACGTACACAGCGCACATTATCATATCAATATTTAATTAAACACCATCCCCAGTTGTTCTGCTATCTGTACTGTAGTCTGCCACACACAAACTCGAGGGCATATTCACCATAAAGTAACCTACATAGAAACCATGTTAAAAATATTAAGGGGGAATTTGAATTTTAGTTATTAAAAAACAGTTACTTATCCCAGTCATGCTCCGTTACTTTTTGTTACAGTTTGTTCACTGTTTTACTGTAACGGACCGTCTACACAGCAGCGTTAAAAAAATCTTGAAACGCTTCTGCCCATTCACTTTGAATGGGGTGACGTCACTTTCCCTCACTTTTCGCCGAAATGCATTGTGGGCAGGCGAGCAGAGATTTTCAGGATTTTCAGGATTCAAAGTTGAACAATGTTCAACTTTTGAGGCTGAGGTGGAAGCGTCAGCCAATCAAATCCCGTGTACGCAAATCTGGCAGTTCAAGCTCTAGCCAATCAAACGGCGTGTATGCTGGGAGAGACATACCGCAGGTCATTTCCTCATATTCCAAAAAATGGAGGAGAAATTAGCGGTAGCGAATCAATCACCCGGTGCTTTATGACCAGACCTACCGGGATATAAACCGGAGGAGCCAGGCATGGAGGGAGGTGGCAGAGACAGTGGTATGTTTTCGCCTGTTTGGGGAGTTTATATCCAGTTTACTTCAAACTTTTTTGCTTCGTATGTCGCGGGCGGGAGATTCATGTGATTGGTTGTTCGCAAAAAATCCCCAAGCTTCAGATACGCCCACCTCCAAGATTTTTTTAACGCTGCTGTGTAGACGGTCCGTAACTGTAAAGGAAGGATTGATACCAAGTCTCGGCCAAACGTCAGCACTATTTTGGCAATGTCTGCCGTCTGCATGAGATGTACTTAATTTGAGATGCCTTAAAAAGAAGATAATGCTGCACACGTAACAAGCCAAAGAAAAAACATTTTTCCAGTGACTTAAATTCCATTTTTGTGGATGAAATGCTTAAACACATAGAAAACACTACAACCAGTATACAACCAGTATACGTGTGGTATAGGCCTTATACTACTGCAGAAAGTGTTAGCTAGCTCGTCGCGGTGGTTCGTAGGTAAGCCTCTACCAGAAAACAAGCAAATACAACTCACAGTATCTCTTAAGTTGTCTTATTTGTATCGCTAGCTGGTTTGCTAACATTAGTAATTTATTAACTTACATTGAGGAATTGGAGTTAGTGATTAAACCCCAGGACTTCACAGCGAGGATCGAGACCTGTGCAGAGCTGTAGTCACTGAGGCTAACGTTTAAGCTAGCTGTTGACGGTCAGTATTGATGTCTATATCACACAACATGAAAACAAGGTGTGACATGGGTGTGTAGGGCTTTGAGTTGTTTAAAGATACCTTTGAGCAAAGGGACTGAGTCACAAAACTCACAAGTGTTTTAACTAACTAATATAAATACCTACTATTGCTGTTGAGTAGTACGTTTGCATTTTCATTGTGCAATCAGTAATGTATTACTTGCAAACACATTGTATTCAAGACAGTAATAAACAGTTAGGAGGACGCCCAATTTGACCTTTGTTACACCGCCACAGCAACACAGCATGTCCCTATTGGCTGGTTCAGGTTTACTGTTATATCACTGTGACACAAGTAAGCATTAAATCAAGAGAGTGTCCCTGTGGGTGTAGCTGTGATGGTCTGTGTCTGCCTGTGGTGTGTGTGTGTGTGTGTGTGTGTGTGTGTGTGTGTGTGTGTGTGTGTGTGTGTGTGTGTGTGTGTGTGTGTGTGTGTGTGTGTGTGTGTGTGTGTGTGTGTGTGTGTGTGTGTGTGTGTGTGTGTGTGTGTGTGTGTGTGTGTGTGTGTGTGTGTGTGTGTGTGTGTGTGTGTGTGTGTGTCTTTAGGATTTTAGCTGAACTGTGACAACAGTGTTACTAAGCTGTTAAATCTGAAAAACAAACAGACACACTTAGAGGGAGTAGAAAAATAAAAGAAACAGGATGAAAACAGCCACGATGTGAGCTGTTACTTGCCAGATCATCAAACGACACCTTTCCTCTGTCTGGTCAATGCTTGTGGGTAGAAGAGAGACG